CTAAGTAGGATTACAGTCCAATCTTCGTTATTTAGACCAGATATTGGATATAGCCAACGACCGTATAACTTTTATTTTGTTCTTATCTGATGAGACTTTGCTTCTAAATGAAAGTTTGGCGTTCGAACTAAACACTTTATTCTTACTATAATGTTTTTACATTAATTTATTAACAAGAACTTTAACAGTAAACTCGGCGTCTCTTTTGTTCGTTATACATATTTTGTATATTAAGTTGCCTAACTTTTCTAACATTATCGAACTGTGTCTGAAAGGTAACAATTTATTAAATGATCCAACATTGATTTGTGTCATAATACGCATGAAATATCGATTCACTTGAGAAGAGAACGTAAATAATGTACCTTTTCCAAACAAAAAGGATTTAATTTTCCTGCTTTCTTTAAATAAAGGTTATGGTCAACTTCAAATGTGGCCAGTTTTTTTCATTCTTCACTTTTTGTTGGTGCCAGCAAGCGCTATTTTACTTCTTCCTATAAGATCAATATGTATGAATATTTTATCTCTACGATCTGTTACGCCACGTACAGGTAAAAATACTTAAAAAACTGTGATAACAATGTTTTTTTAACATTTTTTATTTTTAAACTATGTATTAAAGAATTTCAATAACGCAGAATTAATAAGTTGGATTATTTTGCCTCACAATTCTCACGTTATCTTCTTTATTTTAGGCTGAAGCTGGTGGACCTCTCATAATGTCTAATCAACAAATTGGAATCGGTTCGTTTTTACTATCCACAAAAAAGGGCCACGGATTATTGTTTCATACGCAAATCGATGCCGTTTTTCCATTTATCAATTCTTATTTAGCCGATAGCGTTCAAGAAAGATACAACGTAAATGGATGTGATACACTCACTGTTCAATATTTTTTTCTTAAAGTACTATTTTCTATTATATTTTATGTATATTAAAGTTGCAAATAAAATTGTTTACCGAAATGCAATATGCCCTGTTTCGATCGTTTACAATCAAATTATAACTTGATAATGATCAAATAAAACGCAAATTATACATAAATATACAAAATTAAGTTTCCAAGTAAGAAAAATTTCCCATCGGTTATAATAAAATTTACGACGTTTTGATACAGGATGTTTAGCGAGGGTAAAAATGGTTTGGAAAATAATCCGGAAATTGGAAGATTCTTTACACACTTCTTTAACAACTATTGTGCTAATTCCGCGCAAAATAAACAATTTCCCATTGATTCTGTGATTAGAATCAATTTTATACCATAACTAGCAATTAACATCTAACAACACGTTAAGTTAAGAGATTATATTTATGTTTAGACTCCACATTTTCTTACCTCACTCCCTTTCCTAACAATCAACACCTGGAAAAATTGTTCTATTTTACATCTCTTTTTTTGAGTATTATACAAATTTTTTAAAGAAATAGTTTAATAACTTTAAAATTTTAAATTTCATAAGCAGATTGTATTAAGTTGGCTTGCTTATATAAAACATTTATTTACTTTTTTCTATATTGATTGAATACATTTAATACTTACAGAAATTATTTAATTTTCCTAGCACCTGTATATTATTTCTCTCAAATTTTAACACATGCGCTTTAGCTATTTTGTTATTCTGGTTTTCTCGAACAAACCAAAAAAAATGGTTATTTCTGACGTGCACAAAAACGGCCTTTTTCGAGACTTTACCGTGACAAACCAAGCACTCCATCTCACTTCATTTAGTTGTCGCGCACGAAGCAAGTTCTTAAAGAAGCAAAAACGCCAATCAAGCACGACCACGTCCCCATCCGTAAAACGAAGAAAAGTTAGAATTAAAAATTAACGCAAAAGCAATAGCCACACGAGCCTGAAACATAACTTCACGCACTCACTGTTCAAAACAGAAGCTACCGCGACCGAAAAGCAATGAAACGGACGTCGAAAAACCAACACAAATCACATGACTTGTCCGACTTGTCTCATGTATGTATGTAGTTTCACGTGGGGGTGAGTTTCCTCACAGCACTTAGGCCTTAGCAGGCCCTTTGTACGTCCCCACAATTACTGTGCTTTCAAGGGTCAGAAAACCAGCCTAATCTTTTCATGAACGTTAATATAGAACAGAAAGGTATGTTCCTTATATCCGAAATTTGGAGCCATGGCACTCCGAAAATGAATTCCCTTAAGTACGCAAGGTTGGAACAATCACAAACAATATGACTTTCCATATCGTCTTCTATTTCACACACTCTACAGAGGGGTGTTTTCACCAGCTTCATGTAAAACATGTGCTTACGTAACCTGCAGGTCCGGTCAGGAAGTGAGTGAAAAACCTCAAGTCATTTTTTGATTTTTCCAGAAACTGAGTAGATCTCTTCCGGTCAGGGTAGAGCAGAGTTTTCTTAGCAAAGACATCTGCTGCTGTCCCATCCCAGCTGTCGCAAAAAGCTCTATGGGAGATGAAGTTTATCAGCTTTGATGCTGTATTTACAGCTAGTGGTACAAATGGTTCGGGCAGAGATCGGGGAGATCGGCAACTTGTTAACCGCCCGTTTCGCCAGCCTATTCGTTATTAACGCTTTAAGTTTATTCGTATCTTACTTTTGTACAACGATTAACTATTGCAGTATAAATAACTATTTATGTAACTATTTTATCGAATTTTTATAATTGGTTTTCTTGTTGATGTTTTATTTTTGTAGTCCGGTACTATATCAGTACCTGTTTATGGTATGAATTGGTAAAGCTGATATATCAATACGTCAAAACGTTTTAATCTATCTCAATATGAGTCAAAAAGAGTTAAAGGTAGAGTTACCTTTAGCTCTTTAGTTCGTGATTTATCCCATGCAATCGCCGCAAATGTATAAATAATTTATATTAATTGTTTTAATAATAAAATTGAATGCGTTTTTAAGAATGCAAGAAGATTTATGACTTCTTAACCTGGATATTAACAGTTACCAAACAAAGACCACTTTTAAAGTAACTTGTCATAAAAAATGGAAACGTTTTAATTAAAAATGGAAGCTGTACTTCAAATCCCGATGGAGCACTTCGTTCTAAGCAGAAATGTTCTATTTATCTTAGGCATATTATGCACATCAGACATCTTTTTAGAGTATAGAGTATAGAACAATGTCATTTACATTAAAAGTATGTTGTGAAGTGCTTAGAATTTTACTTTAATATTTTACTATCACATCTTATGATAGTAAAATTATGATAGTAATGAACGTTTTACATTTTTATGAAAAAAGAATGTTTATTAAGTTATGTAAAGTTCGAAATGTATTGCCCCTTTTCATAGAAGCTTTGAAAGTGTACTTGTCGGTTTCTACTGGCGATGACGTTTAACTACCATATAGTTCACTCTTCAAGACCAAGATGAAGAAAGAGGATTGCTTATATCCACATACATATGTACCAAGTTAGTCATAATTGAGAAATAAAAAGATTAGAACTTCAATTAAATAGAGGGTGTTTTTTTAAGCTAGATAGAACTTACGAAAGTGTTAACTGTCAAACGAACTGTGATACTGCGCTCACTTTTTGATATTTATGATCAGTATACTCTGGCAAATCATCATGAACAGATTGACGCTTGAACAACGCTACCAAATTATCCAGAGTTACTTTGAAAATCAGTCATCAATTTGCATAACTTATAGACAACTTCGTGATTTGTATGGCGCACATAATCGTCCATCTGAGCAAGCCATCCGTCGAACAATGGATAGATTTCATACCACATACTCTCTAAATGATGCAATAAAATCACCACGTCGAAGAAATGTGCGTGCTGAAGAGAATATCGCCGCTGCAAACGAATGCGTGGAAGAAGATTCAAATTTATCGATTCGTCGTCGGTCGCAGGAATTAGGGCTTTCTCCGTCCACTACGTGGAAAATTTTGCCCAAAGATCTTGACCTACACCCGTTTAAGATCCAGCTGGTGCAGGAATTAAAACCACGAGATCATCATATGCGTCGTTCTTTCGCCGATTGGACTCTAGAGCAGTTGGAAATTGATCCGATATTTTATCGCAAAATTGTGTTCAGCGACGAGGTTTATTTTTGGCTTGACGGGCCGCCTATGGAGTGAAACCAATCCACTACAGACACTACAGACTCCATTACATCCAGAAAAATGCACCGTTGGTGTGGTTTGCACGCTGGTGGCATCATTGGACCTTATTTCTTCAAAAATAGAGTCGGAGCTCGCGTTACGGTCAATGGAGATCGTTACCTCACCATGATCAATGATTTTTTGTTTGAAAATATGGATGATATTGATCCGGCCAAAATGTGGTTTCAACAGGACGCCGCTACGTGCCAGACAGCGACAGCTACCATCGACTTATTGAAATCAAAATTTGGCGATAAGTTGATTTCGAGAAATGGACATGCCAATTGACCTCCAAGGTGGTGCGATTTGACACCTCTCGATTATTTCCTTGGTTTATGCTGATAAACCAGCAACAACTGACGCCTTGGAGGCCAACATTGTTCGTGTTATTCGTGACATACGGCCAGCAATGCTCGAAAAAGTGGCCCAAAATTGGACTTCCAGAATGCGCTTCGTCAACAACAGCCGCGGTGCCCATATGTAAAATCATTTTTAAATATTAAATGCCATGAATTGATCTTTCGATCAAAAAAATTTTTTGGTTTAAAATTTAATTTTTTGTGTTACTTTTTTCAATTTAAAGTTCTATCGGGCTTAAAAAAACACCCGTTACAACCTGCATCTTGAAGCCTCTATCGCAAGCGATTATGAAATTGTAAATCTTTAAAATTTAACGCAATTTCAAGACTAGCACAATAAATCGAGGATTTAGCCTTAATATTAACGTTCTCATATCAATCAATAAATACAAACACATAATATAATTTCACATATTATTAACTTTAAGAAAACTTTTATTTATTAAATCTAAATTATTATTATTGTAAATTAATTTCTAAATTTTCCTTAAGTTTTGATTAATTTAATAAATTAAATGTTTCAAAAATTATGTGAAGCAACTAAATGGACAACGCTTACTGTTAACACTCAAGATACTGAAAACATCTTGGGAATCCCTCGAAAAAACTTCTTCTTCATCATCTTTGTAATCTTTATATTTAATCTCATAAACCAGATTGAATCCAATTTTTTTAGCCCGTTCAGCTTCCGCAGCATTGTGTGCATCCATTCGAATAATTTTCACTCCAAAATCGGCTGCTACACCCTTAGAAAAATTAATCAACCTTTTTTCCAGATTATAATGCCCGCAACCATCACGAACAGCAACCAAAACAATATAAAAATAGTGCTCTAAATCTTCGTATTTTTTGTATAATTCTTTTCCAACTTCGGTAAGAAACTTATTGATCGTTTGAACACCACCATCTAATCCATAATAAAGGTCAGCTTGTTTATGAACTACGATGTTGCAAGATAATCCGACGACTTCCTCATTTTCATCCGTGATTATAACGGATATGTTTTGACTTAAAGCGATCGTCCAGAATTTTTTTAAAGTTTCTTTTACTGTCGGAGTGTTTTCGAAGTTTGCGTATTTCAATAGAAGGGAGTGTGGGAAGTAATATTTTTCGAGGAAGTTAATAACTTTTAATGTATCTTTGCAATTAACCATTGCTATGTTGAAGTTACGCATTGTTAGAGACATCGCGGTGTGTTTAATGTTAAGATACATTTTTGGATTTTTTGATTTAATCGATGAAGCACGATTGTATGCGTTGAACTGTGTGAATTCGTACGGATCGATTTTGCTTTATATAGTGTAGTTTATCGATCGTATTTTGTAAAAGAAAATGAAGTAATCCTTTTTGAAACTGTTAACAATTATTTATTGACAAATAAATTTTTTTTGTTTAGCTCTATAAATGTAACTTATAATGAATTAACAATCTCGATAATTGCATAAAAACTTAATCGATTTCCAATTCTTTATTTAATAAACCAATAAAAATTACGATTATCTACTCATACTGATCTAAGAAGAGGTTCTAAACAATTAAGCGTCTAGAGACTCCCCTTTTTCTCTTCACGTCGCACATAGTAATAAAGCAAATCATTATACAGGTCAAATCTAAATGCGGGGAAAGAGACAAAAAACAACAATAAATGTTAAAGTTTTCTGCAACTTCCGGTTATACCGTAAATGAACCCCTGGAATGTCCTAATTTTTATAGAATTTATTTTCCAGATTCCCGCAAAATTTTAATATAATTTGATATAAGTCAACAACTGTTGCACCATGTTTGAGTTAATTCAGTTTTTTCGAAAATTTTGACAGATGCACCCCTTCACAATATAATTTTTCACAATTACATTCGACTCGAGCCAAATATTATAGTACTACATACACCTATAAAATTTGGGAGATAAAATTTTTTTAAAGAAAGTAGACTTATATTGATTTTTTAATTTATGTAAAATAATGTGAATTTAAACAAATCGTCCAAGATTTATTTGCAGGAGTTTAGGAATAATCTTTACATCAAGTTAAAGGTAAAAAGTCATAATTTGAAATAATCCATAGATTATTTTCTGTAATCTTCTCTTGTTTATAAGTTGTAGAATTTCGTCCATTGTTGTTGCCATTATTGAATGTATACCCAGTATAACCTATAATATATTTTGTCCACGACTACCTTATAATATATACCTTATGAATGAGTTTTCTAAAACAAAATGGTAGTCATTTTTCACGGAGTGAATAATAGCGGTGAATAATAATCATTATCCACGGGTAGCCATCTTGACCAGACTGATAATAATTATTTGAAACGTTAAAAGTTCAAAAAACGTCAATTTAATTCAATTTTTTAGGAGTTTCTAAATGTTTGACATTAAAAAAACCTAAACAAATTCCTTTTTTCGTATGATTTAAGCATAAATTAATTAATTTTCCTAAAGAAAACGACGTTTTATAAAACTGGCATTTAATTTTGACAAATTGTTGTGAAGTTGGTTACAGTTAGTAACATTGAATTTGTGTCACATTGACGTTTAACCTTTATTCAAAAATTTATTTAAAAAATAAATTTATGGAATCAATTTCAATAGTCGTTGACAAAGTATAGTATTCTACTCGCATATAATGAGCTATTATTCACTCAGGTTAATTATTATTATATTAATATACTATTATCCACAATCACCTTATAATTGAAGTTTTATCCACACTTATGAACCGTATAAAGTACCACTTTATTCACTAGTGAAATAAAGTTACTTTACTCCACTAGTGGAATAATTAAAAATACAATCTAAATCAATCACATCCTATTTATTATTTATATTAACATTAACATTTATATTAATAGACATTTCATTCTTTGATTTCAAGCCCTTGTCAAAAACTCTTCGACGTGTGTTCTTGACTGATTCTTCAAATAGGCCATGAGCTTACTATATTTTCCGATGTCTATGTTTTTATAGACCTTTATAGCGGCTTCCAGCATCGAATACTTCGACCACATGGATGAAATTGCATACCTCTTCTTCAAATTTAAGAAATACGATAGCAAGACTTCATCATTTATTGTTATTACCCCCCGTTTTTTTTTCGAGAAAGGCATCAGTAGATAGAAATTTGAATTAAGATAGAATTTTTCGATAGTGATTAAACAGTTATTAAAGAAAGACATCCATAATTCTATTAAGCGGATTTTGGATGGCCATTGTGCGTATGCAAACTATTATTTTCATCAAAATAATAAAGACGAAAGTATTGTTTTGCAAATTAAATGTTGTTGCGCTGAACTATTGTTACAAGAAACACAAGCGCAGATCCTAACATCACCTGCTGGAGGTAAGGGGAATTTATAAATACCAGTTGCAATTTAAATAAGTTAGTTTTCTATTCATTTCTAGGGAACTCCCATCGGCAACCCAGTGCAATTCTTGGTATACCGCGACGCGGTTTGATTTCAAACTTTATGAAATCAATAAAAAGAAAATGAATAAAATAGTGAATTTAATTATCTCTTTATTACATTTTTTTATATTACTTTTTAAATAACATAATTAGTTAAATTACCGTTAAGCTGTTTTTTAGATGTATGTTTTCTTAAGAAACTTTTGAAATAATAATTTAAACTTTTTAGAAAAAGTAGCATTAACCGCCGTGAACGTTAACTATATATTCATAAATGAAGTTGGTATATTTTTTTTAATTTAAAACATTTTCGATTTTTGCCATTATTAGACATTATTTTAATTTTGCAAACAAATTAGTACAAAGTGTAAGCTTTAAGATAAGAAAGTCGTTTCATAGTTCTTATAAGTAAAGTGGGTATGATGTTTTAAAGTTTAACAAATATTTTCGGTTTTTGCTATTATTAAACGCTGACATTTTTCGTTTTTCATCTTGAAAATTCTTAATTAATTCAATGAAGTTCAGTACAAAATTTGATTATTATAGATATGAAATACAAATTCAAAAATGTCGTGTCTCAAGAACGAATGAAGATATTATCATGAAATAAACAACATTTTAAAGCAAATGTAATGAAGATTCAATGTTCCATAAATAATTTCTTATTTTCCTTAATCATCGTTGTTATGCTTTTTTTAATCCAACTCTGTATGTTTGGTTGTTAAACATACACTGAGAGAAATATATTCTTGAACGAAGATGTATGAACTTCATGTTAGTTGGCATTCCCTCATATATGGCAATTTTCGTTGTAAACATAGTAATTTATCGAAAAATTCCAAGTCCCTACCCTACACTGAAGTTGATATCTACAAAAGTCGGAGTTCTCGAGTACGGCGCAGTATAGAAATTTTCACAGATAAGCGGGCAGTCGCCACAGACTGCCAACATGAATCCGTCCCTATTGGAAAACGATTTACTGATTACGATTATATGCTAGTATTGCTGTTTGCATAGCTATCTGGTGTGAAATTTCTGGTTTCATTAATTTTATTATTCTCAAATGTTATATTAAGGCTGAATGTACAACGAGCATGTTAAAAACTATGCGTAAAAATAAGAAGGAATTTCCAGAAAAGGTGTTATTAAACCTCAAAATTTTACACAAAAATAGGGCATTACAGTTCCCTATTTGGACTCTATGCCATACCATCTAGTTGAGTATACTGCGTATATCCAAGAAAAATAAGGTCGTCTTAGTATTGTCAATAATGAGTCGTGATCGTAATATAGATGATAAACAAAGGCAGAGAGGCAGACAATAAAACTAAGCTTGTGGTCGATTTAGTTGACCAGTTGATGTTGAGCATTGAACACGTTATTTGCGCCATAATCCGTTACTATCTCTATAAATCAAACAATATTGACTAAACTTACAAGACACACTCTGAAAAACTTTCTAAACAGTCGTAAAAAAATTAATATTTATTTTTTGAAAGCCTTTGTTTTGTTTAACACCTGAAAAAACATGGATTACAATTGTAATCAATGCATGGTAAAACAGAGATAAATGAGATGTCTTATCTTTGGTAGTATCAGACAGGTCAGAATCAACATAACATTCATAAATGCCTTCAACGTCACTTGAACATCAACAGTGCAATTAATACAAATTTACTGGTTCCAAATAGTTAATAATACTTGAACTAAAATTAGAACTAAAGCTAGAACTAACACTAGAAACTTTCGGGTTTTGCCGTTGAATTCACACCGACCGTGAAAGCCGTCGTGCTTAAGTTAATAATAGGTTGGGAAACAGTATTTTTTTTAGATTTTATTATTGTCATTAATAACTGTATTGTACTTGATTCTAAAAAAAACTACGTGCAATACTTATTCAAAAACTAGTAAAACGTGTTATTACTAAACACAATTAAAAGAATCTCTTAAAACTTTTCTTTTTATTTTCCCTGTCGATGTTTTTGGTAAATCTTCCACGAAATAAATGCCTCCTCGTAAATGTTTCGTTTTCGATATTCGTTCTTAAAAACATAAAACTTAAAATTTATTACAATTAAAAAAAAATGATATTACCTGCTACATATTGAATCAATTCATCTTCAGTTACATCTACATTGGGTTGTTTAACCACAAATCCAGTGGGTAATTCCCCGGCCAATTCATCTGGTGTACCAACAACGCAAGCCGCTTTCACCTTTGGATGTGATATTAAAATCCCCTCGATTTCAACCGGTGACACTTGAAACCCTTTATATTTAATGACATCTTTAAGTCTATCGACGATAAAAACGAATCCTTCCTCGTCGTAATAACCATAATCACCAGTGTGCAACCATCCATCAACGAAACTATTTTTAGTGGCTTCTGGGTTACGATAATAACCTTTTGTAACCATTCTACCTTTTATAAGAATTTCACCACGTTCATGGGCTCCTAAACGTTTTCCAAATTCATCGCAAATACAAAGCGACATTCCAGGAACTACTTTTCCTGCTGATCCAACTTTTTTCTCACCAGTTCGCATCATTACTACCCCTAATGTTGCCTCCGTTAAACCATACCCTTGACGAAAACATTTTAAATTTGGAAATAACTCGACGAGTTGTTCTTCGACTTTCTCGCTTAAAGAGTTGCTTCCACAAAAAAGTTCTTCGATTGTCGAAACGTTGTAATTTTTAAAAATAGGACTCTTAACTAAAGTGTAAGCAATTGTTGGGACGATCGCTAGATGTGTTATGTGGTGTTTTTCGATTGATTCTAAGTATAATTTTTCGTTGAACCGTTTCATCATAATAATTTGGTTACCTCTTATTACAGCAGCTATGTTTATTACTAAGCCGAAAACGTGGAAAAATGGGAGTATTGAAAACACGATTTCTTCTTTTACCAAGGAAACTCTAGGGTCGTATAATTGATTAACTCTCATTGATATGTTATCGTGAGTTATCATAACAGCTTTTGGTAATCCGGTTGTACCAGAAGAAGAGGTAATAAAAGCGATTTGATCAATTGGATTGACGTCTTTAGGTTTAAAGTTATCGATGCAAAAATTTTTGTTATAATTTTTTTCTATAAACGTACTTAAAGTGTCGTAGCCTGAAACATCTTCATCGTCTAAGATTATTATTTTTAAATCTTGAAATTTACTTTTTTCTTCAATAAAAATATTTAATAATTTCGAAGATATAAAAACAATTTTTGGTTGGTAAATATCATACAGATGTAAAAATTCATCTGAAATAATTAACTTTTTTATATTTAATAAGAAAACTATATATATAAAAGAATACTTTTCGTGTAAGTTTGATTAATAAATCCAGAAATCATTCCAAGAAATAATCCAGCAACTACAGGAACGTAGTAAAAAACACTATTTTCCCCAGAAATGACCAAAACATCGTTTTGTTTAAAACCACAACATCGAAGACTTTCAGCTAATTTATAAGATAAAATTAAAAATTCTTTGTTTGTAATCTTTTGATCAGTTGAAACATCAATCTAAAATTGATCGTATTACTAAGTATAATTTATTCTTACGTGCAAGTTTCGTTCACAAATAAAACGTTGTCATCTTTTTCTTTGAGTTTATCAAATAATCTAGTTCCAAGAGATACCAATGGAATATGTGTTAATAGTTTTGGTCCGTGTAAAATACGATCCATGTTTTAATAACAATTTGAAAAGTTCAAAATCAGACTAATTGCAATCCGTCTAATAGCTTAGCAAAACAATTACAAACCAACATTTACAGAACGACAAAGTTATTTATTGAATTAATTGTTTTATATATGAAAAACTAAAAAAATTAATTGCTACTGAAACCTTGAATTAACTTTTTGTTTCAAATAAATAAATAATAAAAAACGCGTCTTGAGTAAATAACCGTGTAGGTATACAATTAAAAACATCCAATTAAATCAAACTAAATTTAAATTGAAACAAAATATACATGAATAATCTATTAAAGAAATGCCAATAATTTTATTTTTCGTGTAAACATGGAGATTTTTTAACGAAAATGAATAATAATACAAATACAAGGAAATGAATTAAAAAAATATAACAGCATCCAGGATATTAAATCTATTCCAAAAATCTTTACCGACTGAATTATCTTCCTGATTCAGAGGTTAATTGAAATGGTTAAAATCTTTTATTACAGTGCGGTGTATTGACCACGAAATGAAGATGCTAAATGTAGCTTGGCAAATCACGCCAGTAAACTGTTGGGTGTGCTGAAAAAGTGCTAAGGTTGATGACTGTGTGATTGTGAAGTGTGACGGATGTTGTGGACGTTCCTACCAGGATATTTTAAACCAAGCTTTCTTTTCGCGAATAGAAGTCCTGATTTTTAAAAAGAATTAATTTATTTTATTCTAAACATATAGATTTATTATTGATTCTAACACAATAATTGAAGAACTTAAATTAAATTATTGTACGCGACGCTTTGTACAGGCTGTCTCAGCAAGACCGGTCATTAGACGTTTCTGAGGTTCTGGAAAATAAAAATTTGAGAATTCAGACTTAAGTATTATCAATTGCGTTCTCTTCGACTAAAATATTTTCAGATTTCTAACACTTCCGGTTATACCGGAAGTCGCAACCTACTTAATTTTTTTAAATGGAAGAGCCTGTATATTTTTCAAGTTTGGATTTGTCTGTTTTCAAGGCTTACGAATAACTTTACTTTTTGCAATTTGATTCAGCCGTTCTCGAGTTATTTGAATTTTTCTAGAAAAATCTGCTCCAGCAGACATTTGTTCCAAAAATCAGAGGACACTCGATTTCTGAGATATCAATTTAGGATTCAGAAAATGCTTAAGCAACATGAGTATGTTTTGGTGCCAAGAACGGCTGTCTAGATCGTTTGATCACTTTACTATGGCACGTTAACTTCTCGAAATTTTGAAGTACCATTACTTTATTTTCTTAAATAGCATCCCCCATATTTTATTACTTAGTCGTCTTCGGCGTCTCATTTTACATCTTTTATACTCCATATGTCCTATACCTAATATTAATAGTTTGGTAAATAATTAAAGGTTTTTGAAAAATGCACACATATCATATCGATATTAACCTAGTCTGCCATGGAAAACAAATGTTTAATGACTTATTGAAAAACGTCAAAGTAAGATTTACGTTGTTTGATGCTTGTGAGTCTAAAACCAGTTAAAATGGATATCAATAACGTAATAGTATATTAAAAAACAAGTTTCGTAAGACGCGCTTGAAATGCACGAATTCAAGTTGAAAAACGAGTGGCGAAGCCACGAGTTTTTTAATGAATGAGTGCTTTAAATTTTATGAAACGTGTTTTTTATGCTATTTTTTGTAATTCGCATTTTTATCCTTTTTTTTTAAGAAAAATAAAATAAATTTTGTCAATGTAGGGAAAAAGGTAGTTGGTAACATTGTAACACTTAGGGGGCGTGATGGCTCAGCGTGTTAGCTCTCGGGTTAACACGCAGACGTCCCGGGTTCGAACCCCGGTGAATTCACGTTGAGTCGCCCCCCGTCCTTCGGAGGGGACGTTAAGCCGTCGGTCCCGGCAACCAGTCGTCAATCTCTGGTTGTCGTTAGCACGCATGTGTGTGAGGCTCGACTTATAGGGACGAATGCGCGTAAGCGCCCTCTGACCCCTCGGGGTCGGGGCGGCGGTAACTCGTCATTGGAAACGAGTAAGCGGTATCGTCACCTAACGAGATCTTCTCTACCATCTCGAGCCTCCAAGGGTGTTTGCACAAGGGGCCCACTGGGGCCTAAGTGCGCGTAAAAATTACGCACCCGTCTACATACATACATACATACATCGTAACACTTGAAAATAGAAATTTTAATTGACAATTAGAAACTGTCAAAACACAAAAAACACAAATGTTTCATATACACCTCCCAAAATAAGAGAAATTGCTCAATGTTCAATGTCCTCATCATTGTGGACCTTATATTCGATGCTAAGAACGTGTATAAACATCCATAGACAAAAATTGTCATATTGACAACTAGAAAAATTAATGACCCAATGTCACCAACTTGAACTGGTTCCATAAAATGTTATTAAAATCTCATTACAGCATCGGATGCTGTAAGTTATTATGTAAGTCATTACCGTCGCGAATTACAAAAAGAATGTTTACACAAATGAAGAAATCCTTAATTTATTTTTTATGCACGGAAAGTGCGACAATGTTCTTAGTAGAACTTGCAAAATGTTTAATGAAAATTATCCACATTTACCTCCAATGACAAAAGGTAAATTTAGAAGAATAGAAGCAAATTTTTTGCATTTTGGACGAATTAACCACGTGCTAAACTGACCAAAAAATGTAGTAGATAATACAGTGGAAGAGGTAAATACCTTGGCCCAGTCCCATTCTGAGCCCAGTTCCAACGCCTCAATTCGAGCTGCCAAAGAAGATCTGGGAATCATACTACGAAAATTGTCCCGCTTTTCATGTATAAAAAATAAATTAAGAATTTCTTCATTTTAGTTTGGTTGCTCGCCAATACTTGGACGACGAACACCCAGACCGTTGTATCGGACGAGGAGGTCCGCACTCTTGGTCACCGCGATCTCCCGAACTTAATTGTTTAAATTTTTTCTTTTGCTGCCATCTGAAAACCCTAGTCTACGCTACTCTAGTTGAAAATGTTGACCAATTAAGAGAGCGCATTCTTGTATCTTGCGACATAATTCGGAACACTCCGGGAATTTTCCTGCGTGTTAGACAGTCAATGCGTCCAAGAATTGCTGCTTGTATTGAAGCTAACGGCGGAAATTTCCAACATTTAATTTAACTGTGTATGATTTGCAACTGTTTTTTTTTTAATTATGCAATTATGAATTTTACTTTTGTTACTTGTTCTAACGTTTTAGTAAAACAAAATTTTTATTTCAAAAAATTGACCATGTTATTCCACATAAAAGTTGATTTTTCTCGAAAACGGTCAACTTTAGAGCTCATAACTTTCAGTACCGTTTTTGTGTAAAAAACATTGGTTCAAATGGGCGTCTCAAAACCGTAGATTTTCCAGTGGCGTAGAAGTTCCCTTCAAAATCTTCACCAATTATGACTTTAAAAAATATTTTTCTCGCACAAAACTTAGCTTATTATGAGTAGAAAATGCTGTTCAGCTCTTATAAGGGTATTTTTTGTACGATAAACGGTTCCGGAGATATTCGCAAAAAACTATTTTTTTTTACTAAATTTCAACACCCTGTATCTCGAAAATGGTGCATTATAGAGGGTAAGTTGATAGAAACTTTTTTTCAAATTTTACTATGCCAGCTTCTTTGTCAGCTTTTACGAAAATTGTATCGTTATATAGTTAATATATTGTTTCATTTAGAATTTTTTACGCTGGGTGGAACAATTTTGTTTGATAGCATTGAAACATTTCGTAAACGACACGGTTTGTTTGAAATGATTACTGTATTAAAAATGAATAATAATATAAATTTTAAACAATTAGTTATCACTGAAAGAATTAAATTTATTGAAAAAATATATGAAGATTATATTTAAAGTGATTCGTTATGGTGGATTTTTTACTAGAATATTATCTCCCTTTGAATTGAAGCAATGGGAAACAACCCCAAACAATCTTATTTTAAATTTATTACATAGCCATTGCTACGAATTTTATATTTCTTGCATTCACGATGTATGCTTATTCGGTGAAATTATTAATCGTACGAATTGAAAACTTTAAAAACAGAATTAATAACGCACATTTGACGGAGAATAAGAAATATAATTCTAAAATTAATTACCTAATTTAAAGAGGAATTTTTTAGCTTTATTGCGATTATTTTGATTTTGTTTAAATGGACAATAAAGTATCTACCCTTGCATTTATTATTACTGTGTAGTATTTAGTTGTAGTATTGCAAATTTATTTAATGGTATTATTTTATTAAGAGTGGGTGTAATTAAAAAGAGATGTAACATCTTAATTTGTGTTTAAACCCTCATGCTAAAGTTTGTCAAAAGCCTATGCTTCGTCTAAGAAAATTTTAGACCAGCCTTTTATCCGCTAACAATTTTTCTATTATATCCATTACTCATTGTAGAACGCTTACGTCGAAACCCAGACTAATGATTCGGTATCAGCTTTTTCATTTCGATTGTTGGTATTAATCGTGTCAATAAAAGACTTTTAAAGCGTATGACATCACCGGAAGGAGCGATATTGGTCTATAGAAAAACACTTCATTAACAGGTTTCATAATAACTTCAGCTGCCTTCCAAAGTCTGGGAACATATGTCAGTCTGCAGGCAGCATTCATTAGGTTTTCAGCTAACTATGATTTTTCTTGAAAGATTTTTTAATTGCTGTCCTGATAGGGGATCACTTTTACCTTGTGGCACTTCTTTTTAAACAAGCAAAAGGGCAAACAAAACACCAGACGATGTCAAGGTTACGTAAAGGTTTACTTACCACAGCCAGCCTTTAGACAGTGGAGACGGCGTGGATTTAAAGTAATATTCAAAGATGTTAATGGACGCCACGGACTTATATAAAACCTTTACGAACGTATTTGACCACACCCTAATCAAGTCCGAACTTAGAGTTACAGAAAGGAATGAGAACAAATAACCAACAACCACATTTGAAACTGAAGAAAGAATATCTATATTATATGTAATCGTAGAAAAATATTCATGTATACACATGTAAATATACGTGGGTATATAAAAAATATGTAATGACAATTGGAACAAAGTTCCCAAATTATAAGAATA